GATTTTGTGGATTATTGTTTTAGTTCATCCATGATAATGGGAAATTTGGTTGAGGTTTATGTGATGTAAAATGGTGAGATTAGAGATAAATCAAAATTCTTTCTGAGAATACTCAGAGATTATGGAATACCGAGTAGAAGCAAGTATGTTTTCGTTGATTATGAGAATACCCAGAGAATATGGAATATGGAGTAGAATTAAGCGTTTTTTGGTTTTTGTTAATTCTGAGAATACCCGGAATATTGATATATGTTTTGAGGTTGTTAGTTGATTGTAGGAATACTTGAAATATTGAATAAAACTAAGCAACCCTTTGTTTGTTTCATTTTTACGGGTGTTACTAGGATCAATGTGATTGTTGAAAACCTATATTTAAGTAATGTGCTGATTTTAGGATTAATTGAAATACTGAAAAATGCTAAGCTGAGTTTTTATTTGGTTTCATTTTTCTTGGTATTCCAAGAATAATGAATTATTGAAAGCCAGTCATTCGGTTGTATCATTATCATTTTGGCTATTGAATTTGTTTGGGATTAATGTCTTCAAATCTTGTCATGTTCTTTTAGCAGTGGAATGTTATCCTGTTTGGTTGTAGAAGATGAATCCACAGCCCTCTATGGAAGATATAAATTTTCATGAGAAAAATTTAGATTTATTATTTTGTTTAGTTCTTAGCTTTTAGAGAATGAAACCAATGTGATAGCCTTCTTATACAAATTACACAAACATTTACGGTTTACAGGGTAATCACGAAAGACTGAAGAAGTATGGCTGATGAAGAGAAAAATCTGGTTGAAATCTTAGAAGCAAATAACCTGATTGATATGGCCAAGTACATAACCTATGTTAGTGCTCCACAAGCTGGAGCCATAGCAACATTTGCAGGCACAACACGTGACACCTTTGAAGGAAAAACAGTGGTGGAGCTAAGGTATGAAGCTTATGTACCGATGGCAATACGCTGCATCAAATCTATCTGTTCATCAGCTAGATCAGCCTGGAATCTTCATTCCATTGCAGTTGTACACCGGCTAGGCACTGTTCCAGTGGGAGAAACAAGTGTCTTTATAGTTGTTTCAGCTGTTCATCGAGCTGATGCCCTGGATGCTTGTAAGTTTTTGATTGATGAGTTGAAGGCATCTGTTCCTATATGGAAGAAGGAAGTATATTCCAATGGAGAAGTTTGGAAGGAGAATTCAGAATTTAAAGAAAGAAGATTAGAGCTGGGGAAGAAAGATGGCGTTTGCAATAGAGGAGAAGTTTTGGTAAAAACACATGATAGAAAGACCTGTTGCGGGACAAAGGTCAAGGTGGACGACGAAGAAATCGGAGATATCAGCGCTGGCAAGTAAGAGATTGGAGAGTTATCGTTACTATTTATTTGCACACTTTTACATGTTTCAGGTTGCCACCTTATGATACTTGGTACAATTTTGCCACACAGAACAGTCCACTCCTGATTACTTATTTCTAGCTAAACCACCCAAAAGCTTTGTGATAGTCTTTCTACTCCTTAATCCGTTGCGTCCTATAGGTCGCGGCTGTGCTCTGCCCAATAATATTTGGGAAAGATTGTTCTTCTACAATGTCACTACTGTATATTATGTCTATTCTGGCTAAACATCACTTGATGTTATTTTGTGTGGTGAATTCAGATGAAGAATAGGTTGATTAGAAAATGCAGTTGAAAGGGTTTGAACAAGATGTAGATAATTTCTCAATGGAAATCGATACAGATTTGGAAAATTAGGCCCTGAGAAAAGGTAAGCTCGGTAGTGTGATTACCTTGTGACTCCGCTGGGCGCTGGTTGGAGTAAAAAGGTATCATATAAGATCACATTAATATATCAGTGGTGTAATTTTTAGTTGCATACTAGGAAAACCCTCTTCAGTTATTTACTGTAAAACAATTTTTATTCATATTTTTGTGGAAATAATCCAAAAATATGTGTTTCAATCCACGAAATTAAGGTTTTTGGAAATCTCGAAATTATAAACATGCGTTGTCTAACAAACTAATAATGGACTCAATGTCTAAGATAAGGGATTTCTCTATTGTATTTGAAAAATAAAGATGATTGACATTAAATATAAAATTCGTAGAAAGACACAAGACTCTTTACTTAAATTCATCAAGCGAGCTATAGATCAATCATCCGTTGTCGTCCAGCGGTTAGGATATCTGGCTTTCACCCAGGAGACCCGGGTTCGATTCCCGGCAACGGAAATTTTTCTAAAAATAAAAGTTCCCCTAGGTTTTCCGTTTTCTTCTACTTTTTTCTTTTTAAAAATAAAGTTTCCCGAGGTTCTTCTTTTTCTTCTACTTTTTCTTTTTAAAAAATAAAGTTTCCCAAGGTTTTCCGTTTTCTTCCACTTTTTCTTTTTCAAAATAGATTTTTCATAGGTTCTCTTTTTGTAATAAATTCTCTTCTAGGTTTTTTTTTTTTTTCATTTTATATTCCTTTAGACTTTTGTTAGATTTTAGTAGTGTAGAAGGTGAAATGATTTGCACAGGTATGAATTGCAATGAAAAAGATTGGGATGTAAAATTAAAGTTATAAGAAAAAATTGAATTTACATAAGTAGATTCTACCGATTGATTAATACATCCAAGACTCTCTATTGAACCATTCAGTTACCCAGAAGTAGATGACTTTCAGGCTATTTAATGAACATAAACGTATTTTATGATCTAATTTACATTAATTAATGTACTTTAATTCCTTTTTTCTTTTTTATTAAAAAAAAAAACGAAAAGAAGAAAAAATCTTCTATTAACAATTTTGTATTGTGCTTTAATTTGATAATGGGCCCCAGCTTTTGTACTTTTCCAGTGTTTTCAAAAGATTAATGAATTAAGAAAGAGTAATCGACATTTTCCCACCAGCCAAACCAAACCTTGGGTGGGAAAATGTCATATACTCATTAAGAAAATTAAAGAAGTCAACAACGAATCCATATTCTTTTTTCTTTTTCTTTCTTTTCTCATATTTTAAAAGATTACAGTCTCAAAAATATATTAATTTAATTATAAAGCAAAACTTTCGAAAAGCATTAAAGAAAATATTTGATAATCATATTGTGAATTAGCCAAAGAACTTCCCGTTTATTCTAATTAAAAGAGTTAAAAAGACATCAAACCCTTGGGGTTTGATGTAATAACAAAAATCCAGTTGAGATTTGATTATCAGTGAGCCGTTATTTAGCCGTTGAAACTTACAATATTATAAGTTAATAAATATTTACATAATTAACTTTATAACGTTTATTTTAATACTTAAAAGCTAAAAGTTAACGATAGAGAGATTTATATTTTTTCAAAAATCGTTAAGAGATTTTTGTTATTCAATTAAAACATCTCAATCTGATAGAATTTGAGGTGAGTTTGACTCGTCACCCAACAATGTCTTATTGAATTGGAGGATTACTTCCTCTTATAAACCAGTAGGTTTGAGTGTGCCTAGTCGGTGTGAGACTCCAACACTCTCCCTCACGGTCAAACTCATATGTTGGATTATGTCTGTTATTGGAGGTAGTTGTTAGCTCTAACTCCTCACCCGCTGGTCAAGCACTTAGCTCAATTGAATCTGGACTCTAATACTATGATAGAATTTAAGGTGGGTCTAACTCCTCACCTAATAAGGCCTTGTTGAATGGGAGGATTACCCCCTCTTATAAACTAGTAGGCTTGAGCGTGCCTAGTCGGTGTGAGACTCCAACACTCTCCCTCACGGTCAAACCCATATATTGGANTATAGATTTTCATCCGAAGATGATGACCAATACGATGTGACTGCTGGTTGAATAACAGAAGAAGGGAGATGCATGATGTTAACTCTAGAGTTTGGTCTGGTTTATTCATTTAATTATTTAATTCTTAGGATTACTTCATTTCATTGATTTCTTTGATTTTTGGGATTATCTATTGATAGAATTTAAGGTGGGATTTGACTTCTCACCTAATAAAGCCTTGTTAAATAGGAGGATTACCCTCTATTATATACTAGTAGGCTTGAGCGTGCTTAGTCGGTGTGAGACTCCAATACTCTTACTCACGGTCAAACCCATATGTTGGATCATACTTATTGACAGAGGTAGTTGTTAGCTCTAACTCCTCACCCGCTGGTCAAACACTTAGCTCAACTGAACCTGGGCTCTGATACCATGATAGAATTTAAGGTGGGCCTGACTTCTCACCCAATAAGGTCTTGTTGAATGAGAGAATTACCCTCTATTATATATTAGTAGGCTTGAGCGTGCCTAGTCCTATCACTTTATAACTTACTTATCTGATCTTTTAGGTTTATAGGATACATTGTAACTTATCTGGTCCTTTAAACTTATATAAAGTGTTCAATAAATCCTAAAAATTAATTAAGATGTGTGCAAATTGACACGCACACTTTAAAAAAAATTCAATATGTTATGCAGTTCATTGTATACAAGGTCATGCATAAATAATACATTGCTTTTTTGTTTTATCTTCTTCCAACAATAATTTGTACGACCAACAAATGTTCTCATGTTATTGGCAAGGGTTGTTGGTTTCGTGCACAAAAATTTCATGCCGTGTCATGGCTCATGGGCCATGTGGGCCGTGTTGTCAACTTAAGATTTGGCATGTAGGCTGGCATGATACTGTTTACGAATTTTAAGAAAATAAAAAAAATTAATTTTTTGAGAAAAGCCCATGCGGCGCAGCCCATGGGGTCATGCTATGGGTTTCGAGTTTTGATTGCATAGCACGACACAACACGATAAGGCTCATAACACGGTGGACCGTGAAAATTTTAACTCGACATAGCACGACCCACTGCCACCTTTAGTCTAGTCGTTCAATAACTTTAATTATTAAAAGTACTCAGTACTCTCCCTCTTCAGTACTATCTTCTATTTTTTCTATAGTAATTCATCTATTTATTGTGTATTTATATATATACACATTTTGTATGTATATCTAGCGTTCATGTTTAAATACATTTAATTTACTCAGATCAGGAGGTCGTAATTATCTACGTCAAGGTACTATAAAAGATGCAGCTGGGTGTTCACAAATTATCACAACCAGTTTAGCTTTCTCCTCAAGTCCTGCTCTCTGTCTCCGGTTGTCATTCAAAAGAGTGATGTGATCCATCCCTCCCTTCCCAACTCATCTTCTGCTTCATCTCCTCTCCCAAACTTCCATTTTCAGTCTGCGCTTTCCTTTTTACAACCCAAGACCGTGGAACACTGTTGTATGGCAAAAATGTTGTGCCTCTTAATAATTGCGACGATTATGCTTATTGTTACCGAGCTCCTAATAATCAAATGTCTCATGGAGGTATATTTGTAACTCTTGGAAACCTTTCATATTCCCCACCTAACCCAAATTTCATTCTTTCGGACTTCTTTGGCCCTGATCTTTTTGGCGTTCCATTGTCACCCTTAGTAACTTCGTGGACCATGAAGCCTGCAGGGACTGATGGTAAGCTTTGCCAAATATTCCCCCGTGCTTTAGCTCCGGAGCCTCCTCCTCTCACAGTTGCGCCTCCGTTGCCCGTTTGGGACGACCATAACAAAGATGAGCATTCTTCTGCTCCAACTCCACGGAGGCGCAGGCGGTTCGATGGAACCGCTGCTGAGACCCGTCTTCAACGAATGATCAGGAACCGGGCAGCTTCCGAAAGGACAAGGATCCGAAGGAGGGTAAGTATTCTTCTTCAACTGACCTCTACTCAAATAATTAATTTCTTTCACGTATTTTTTCTGGAAGTTAAAATATTTTTTTCTTCTTTTGGTTTCTGTTCCAACAGGCCTACGATAGCCAACTCATGGCTGAAATTACATTTCTCAGAGAGGAGAACAAGAAATTGAAGCAAAAGGAGAAGGAGGTAAAATTCATGTAGCAATTTTTTTTTTTTTTTTTTTAATTATGAAAATATGCACAGTTGCACTACTATATTTTACTCATATTTTTTATATAATATGTTAATTTTTTAAATGGAATGCAGCTTCTCGAGGCTTCAGAGGCAGCCCGTCCTTTGTACCAGAAGATCAGGCGGTCTTTCAGCGCTCCTTTTTAAGGAGTATGACCATGGGTCATTGCCTCATTGGTTGACTAGTGTGTCTGACTCTGTTACTTTTCTTTTATGTTAATGTTATGAGGTTGTTTTCTTGAGTTTCTAATGTTTTTGAGTAAGAGGTTCAGTAGAAATCTTAGCTGTTTAGCTTTTCGTTTACCTCAAAGAAAAGAGAAGAGGAAGAGAAAGTGTTTTGGGGGTTAAATGCTTTTGTAAATGAGTTTATGCCTCTGTCTAGGAGCAGCAGTTCATTTCACTTTTATTATGTACATGGAAATCAAGAACAGTGATGTTCATCTTCGTAATATATTCATTACTTTGAATTAATATTATGTATTTTATCTTGTGTAAATATGTGTGGCTTATTTTAATTTCCTGTTCGTTTCTCTGACTTGATTACAAAATGGAAAGAGTTCAGAT